TTTTGATATAGAATCATTAATTACATATACAAACCTTATAAAAAACGTATCATTTCCTTATTTCAATTTCTTATAGGGACTGATACTTTATTATTTACTTTTAAACACAAATCTGATTCAGGATTTACTGTCTTATACTTAATTTTCAAAAGTTCTAAATATGCAAATTCACATAATTTTACTTCTTGACATGTTTTTTTTTAACTACAATGATATTACTATTTTATAATATAATTCTTTACTTCTTTACATCTGTAAATACTGCTTCTACATTATTTCACCTTTCAATATATTAAAGAATTGTAATTTCTTCTTGACTTATTAATAAAAATTCAATTAGAATCAATGAATGAATTATCATTTTAACACTTGTATTTTTAGTAATAAAATATACTTCAGCATTCTCTTTCAACTCAAGTAAAGATGTTTTATTTGGTTAGTTAATATATAATTATTTTTTAATATTGTATATTTTGCTTTACTTATAAATAAAAAATATATAAAATAATAAGTTACTTCAAGGCCTTTTATAAATAATAATCATTTTCATTAATGAAATTAGTATTCATAGACATGTTTATTTAAAAAATGGAAAAGTTTCAGTAAATGGTATTTTAATGTAAGAATTTTTGTTGTTACTTTTTATTATACAGATCAGATTATTACAATGATTTTTTGCATTATACAATAGTAGTTTCAAAATTATACATTTGTGTAAACTCATTTCATATAACTGTACATTACTCATTTGATCAATAGAATTTCATATCTTTTCATATTACTCATTAAAACATATTAGAGAACATAAGTATAATGATCAAAAAAAGCTTTGGTCATGTAGTTATATAAGTGGTTTGCTAGAAAAATAGGGTTCTAAGAATTTTTATTTAAAATTTTAATTTTAATTTTTATTGCATTTTAATTTTTGATAATGTTAGATTAAAACACTAAAATTTTAATAAAAAGTGCCTAGAACCTCATTTTCCTAGCAAACCTCCCATATATGCAGTGATGTACATTTTCAATGTCCCAAACATTTTGAGACTGTCCCACACTAAGTCCCAAAATGTCCTCCAATGTCCCAGGCCATGTCCCAAAAATGTCCCATGACAACACTGCATATATGTATAATGTGGCTAAATTTAATAAAGCAACCTTAATTTTATAATATAAGTCACATAACCCGAGCTTTTTTTTGATGGTGATGCTAAAATATCACAATATCTGTCACATGTGCGCAATTAAATTTCAGCTGAATGTTATTATACTGATCATTTCGTGACATTTTTTGATAGATACGCAAGAGCAAACCTGCAGCATTATATGTAACACTATTTGCTACTGTTGCAATCAGTTCTTTAATATTTATATTTATAAATGAATGTACAATATAGCAGAAGAATCTTTAATTGCAGGTCAGGTTCCTATATGATAAGTCCTAGAACTTCTGGTTCCAATAATATTAAAAGATCAATAAACTATATAACATAATATATAAAATCACAAATATTTATATTCCCTTTCTCTATTTTACCTGAATCTGATGATAAAGGTTACATGAACACTTTTTTCTAGTACTCATTTTATATCTGCTAACTTTTGAAAATTAACTTAATTAAGATTGATGAAAATATTTAAGCATGATACTATAAATTTCTTTTCTTAGAAAATTTGTAAGTATATTTTTTAATCAGTAAGTAAAAAAATTTATTTATTTTAACTTTAATTTTAATTTTCTTTTAAAAGAAATTTACATTTTTCCTGATCGGGTTCGATACACAAAATTCTTAATAAAGCAATTAATAAAGCAATGATTAATAAATTAATTTTAAACTTCTTATTTTTAAGTAGGATTTCATCAATTCCAAATGTCAATCTACCCCTTGAGTTTTGCATTTATATAAACCCACGTGATCGGTGACATCTTTAGTGGTGAAAAAATTCTGTCAACAGGTTCTACAAGTTATGTGGGGGTGAAAAATTATGGACGATAATGAAGATTCATAATGCGTAGTCATCTTAATTGAAGACGCGTATTTGTAATTAAAAAAAACATACATGTTCTAACGATTAATTTTTAAGCAATAAATATGTTTTATGTACAGTACAAAGAAAGAGATAGATATTAAAAACAATCAGGAATATCGCCGTCGCGAATCATAAAAACACTCTAGCGCACTCACTAAAAAAAATTCAGTTTAAGAAATGTATGAGACATGTGACTCAATTGAAATTTCTACTAAATTGTTAGAAGAAATATATAAACTTTTTATTTCATATGCAAACAAACATCTATCAAAGATCATAAAATAATTTGCTCGTCTTATTGTTCTAGCGGTGAAAAAGATCATGCAATTACACGAAAACCATCAAATTTTCCATAAAAAAATCATAATTATACCTTCGTAAATTTCAATAGATTGATATTAATAACAAAATAATATCATATGTTCGATTAAATTCAAATTTTCAAAAAGCGAATTCATCTCACTCTATAATACAAGATCTGGAGAAGTTGTAATCGTTTGTCTATTGATTACAGATATCGACAAAATAGACCGTAGCTTCGTAGCAAAGTGCACCGACTTCTTGAATTTTTGAATTGAAATTCTTAATTTAAAAACATTAAACTTATATGCTATATTTATATTTCATAAAAATTTGTGGAGGTTGAATTATCTTACTTATTCTCTTGTTTCTTAATTTTAACAAACAAACAAAACTAAAAATTAATATTTCTTTATTTTGATGCAAATAATGTAATTCTAAACCTTTTCGAAATAATTTTAAAAGCTGAACTAGCGGCAATCCTGAAATTGATTTGAAGGTAAAAAGGTTTATATTTTTGAGGATAGGGATTTTATATTTTGATCCCTATTCATTATTTACACTATTTACACGGTGGGGGGGGGGGGGGGGGTGAGATAGAATTCGGTTATTTTTAAATTTTTTTTTTTGAGGTTTTTGTGAAATTTTATTTTGTTTTATTTTGTTTTTTAATTTTGTAAGGTTATTTTTGGGGAATATATTTTTTAGTTGTGGGGAATTTAGGGAATTGCGGATTTTATTTGATAATTTGTTTGCTTGCGTCGGAGAGGTTTTTTTATAATGAAAATGAAGGTGGCGTTGATGGTGGCGTCGGGTATGTAGATGTCATCGGATGTGTTGATGATGATGGAAGCGGTGTTTCTGACCTTGGTGGACTTGGCCTTGGTTGACTCGACCTTGATGAATTTGGCCTTGGGGAATTAATGATTCTTTGGAGCGCACTTTGGAACATTTGTTCCGTCCATAACTCGAAAGGAACTCTTATACGAATCCTTCGCTTCCTTGAAGAGACGGCGCCACGAGTAGGTTCAGATCTATTAGGCATATTTTTTTATTTAATTGTATTTATAACCTTTAAAAAATTTCAAGTTTAAAACCCAGACTTATTTATATAAAATTGCCAAATACAATATATAATATTTGATAAATACGAAAACTATACTCATTAATCTTTTTTCCGTGAAAATTGCATAATTTACCTTGTGATTGAAACCGGTGGGAGTACATTGGTTTCAAGTTATTTTTTTTTTTTCGTGTACCAGTTTCCAATGACAATTTATATATGTTGTTCTTCAAAATTGGTAAGAATCGAAATTGGTTTCAAATTATATTAACGATTTCCTCCCCATAACTATTTTGGTGATTAAATGCAAAAGACCCCAAAGTAAATTTATCTGTACCAGTGATTAGAATATTAAAATCAATATTATTTATATTATGAGAGTTACGGAGATACGGAGATATGAATGAATTTGACTAACCAAATATTATTTTTAAGTCACCAATAAATTTTTTTTTTGTGCAAACGTTTAACATCAATGAATGAAACAGTCCTCAAGTCACCAATTAACTTTATTCTTTCATTGTGTAAATATCTAGCATTAACCTTTAAAGGAAATGCATGGCCAGTGGTCCGTAAGTTCCAAATGACAAATAAAATAACAGATATACGTAACGGTGTTACGTTATATTTTCGTTTAATAACCTTTTTGTCAGTACTAGTAATAACTGAAGGCACAAAATGAAAGTAAATGGCCCGTTATAATTATCTGACACATGAAAGAAACATCTAATAAATTTATTGTTTAATAGGAAAAGAGTTTTGTATAAAAAAGGAGATGGAAAACAAAGAAAGTTTTCCTATTTATTTGATTAATTTATAAGTGTGAGGTGCGGTAACTCGTGTGTTACTAAAATAAATAATAATAATAAACAAAAGTCGAGTTATGATGGAAAAATGTCAAAAAAAAACTAAATTCTGGTCAAATTCAACATAACGCCGGAAAAATCTCTTATTTGTTACCAAATTGGTCTAAAATAGGATTAGGCGATTGATTACTCACGTTTTATATGATGTATCATGATAGCGAAACACAAATTTTAGAAGTCTTCATTTCAAAGTCACACATGCATTAAATTAATAAAAATTATGCAGGAATGTTTTATGATGTCTTTTATAAAAATATATTTTTTGAAACATTCCTTGTAAATGAAACAAATTCTATGAATATGCACTTGTATTACATTAAAAAAAGTTCCATAAAACTTTTTTAAATGTTAAAATAAAAAAAAAAAAGAATCTTCGAAAAAAATAAAATAAAATATAAACAAATAAATATTTTTTTGTGCGGAAATATTATGTTACATCCGAACATTACACATAATTGATTATCACAAAGAATTTCATCGTGATCTAATATAATTTGTCATACCCTGTGGCACTTTTGAAATTTTTTTGGGGGTAAAATATCCCAAATTGGCCAAAAATATCAGTCTTAATAAATATGTATGTACCGTATAGCACTGACCATTGTAATATACCCGGGTATTTTATTAGCCAATGTGAAATGGTTTGGATTAAGACCCGGGTATAATTCAATTTGATATAGACCCGGGTACTTTATTATTACCGGAAATTAAGAATTGACTGGGATCAGCAGAAATTTGATCGGGCATTTTCACGGAAGTGTCGATCTCATGTTGGGTCAGAACTTCTTTGTAACGTTCTTACCATCTCGTTACTTCTGTAATATTATCGAATAGTTGCCAGCTAAGACCCATGAGGCAACCCATAGAAACGAAGTTAAGTCAGAACAGGGATGTAAGCCAGGTAGAAAAGTCCCAATGACGATCCCGATGTGATTTAGATTAGTAAACAAATAAATTAAAGAAAAGTAATTTATTCTATAAAACCTTCTGCTTACCTTTTTTCTTGTTTAATAAAATTAAATATCCAAAGAATGCCACATAATTCTTATATTATCCAATTTATATTATTTTAATAAATACTACTAGTATATAAAATTTAGTTAGTCAAAAAACTCTTGCAATTAATAACACTTTTATTATTATAATACTTTATTATTATAACAATATGTGTAAAACTTATAGTAATTAGTAATAGATTGATATCACCGCCTTTATCACTATCTTTATCACCACCTTTATTATTATTGCCTTTATCACATCATCTTCCCTTTCAAAATTAACCTTTCCTTTAAGATCTTTTCTATTTATTTTACCTTCTAATCAATTAAAATCAAAAATTAAATCATTTTCTATTCTATCTGTAGCATTTGAAATTCCACAGTATTTAAATGAACATCTAATCATATTAACATCAATAGCATTTCAATCTTCTTTTACCCAATTTGCTACAAGTGAATAAGATAACCTTTTGATTTTTCAAGATAGAATATAATCTTTAATAGTATTACACATCCATTTATTATAAAGATTTCGTATCTAATTTTTAAAAATTAATTTATTATATTAAAAAGTTATAAAGTATAAATTTATTATATAAATTAAAACTTAGTTTAAAATTACCTTACTTTAAAAAAATCTATTTAGCAATACATTAAGTAGTTGTAAGTGAGAAGTTAATTCACCTAGAATGATTACTAAATCTATCATTTTTTTATGAAACCTTCACTTTACAACATCAGTTTTATGTGTAGTAAAAGAATCTAATACTAAAAGAAATCTTAGATTACTATATTGACCTACACGTTTTATCCAAATATTTTCTATCCACCAAATCATTTTACTTTTATTCATCCAACCTTCAGAATTAATATGAATTATTACACCATCAGAAAACTCTTCTCTCAGAATCTTTTAAGCTTAAAAATAATAACTGGTGAAAGTTTTGTCTCATCTGCCATACAAATTAAAATAATAGTAAAATTTGAACATTCCTATTCAGTTGTTAAAATTGAAATAGCTTTACTACTGAATTGTTCAATTGTTATATTGCTTGATAAGTTAAATACCATTGGAATCTCATTTATATTTCTAATTAAACTTAATGAAAAATTATATTTATTTCTACAATATAGTACATACAATAGAAATCTACTTTGCTATATTATGTAATCTTTTAAAAGTCATTAAGTAACTGTTATTTTTTTCCTATTAACTAAATTATAATGAAACTAAAGCTATCAACCTACTTTTGTAAAAATTTAGCATCTTTTATGTTTGAATATTCAGCTTGGTATGATAGTTTTTTAAATAAAAGATATGCCTTAGATTGAATTATATAACAGGTTATTATTTTTAATTGATTTTAAGCCTTTTTAACCAAATCTATAAGTTCTTCTTCAAGATAAGGGTATTTTGGATATGCTCCTGTATTTAGCCTTTAGGTATAAGAAGCTACTTTTAAAAGATTTCTTTATTTTTGATTTAATTGTATAATTGTTTTAGCTCAATGCTAATTTATTTATTATTAATTGTTTGCTATGACATTTTTTATAAAATGTGATTATTATTAACTTTTCTTGTACTGACCAATGCTATTTCTTTTTTTGTGTAATTTTAGTATGATGAGTTTTAAAATTTCTACAAACTATCTTTTTATGAATACCAATATTTAAGAAGAAGTAAAAAAAAAGAAAGAAAAATTTTTCAAAAAAAAAAGTTAAATAAATCTAAATTTAATAAACTGAGCAAATAATACCTAACTAAAAGTTTTGAAAAAATTATGATAAAGAAGCAAATTAAAGAAAAAAGCAATTAAAATATTTTTAAATATCTATATTTTATTGAATGAATAATAGCTAAAGAAAGCATCTATAGTTTTAAATATTATCAAATCAGTTATTAATGAATGCAATTATTCTAATAAAAGGAATAATATATAAGTTCACAAAGTTTTACTATAATGAAATAGTTTATATTGCAATTTTTCATAACATACAATCATAAAAAGCAATACAATTTCCAAAATATACAATTGGTAAAATATTGCATATTGCATACATATATATCTATATTTAGGATCAGTTGTATAATAGTCAGTAGTTTTATATTACATATTTCTTCGATAATGTATCCTATCAGCTAATATATCCTACTTCTCATAAAATACCTATAGGTACAATTCAATTTTTAAATCAGGTAAATTGATTTAGACCTGAATACTTTAGTCAATAATATATGATATTATTATAATTTATATATTTTTTTATATTTAAAAATCTATTTTTTTATTATTATTCTTTTAAAAAAATATATATTAAGAATTTATATATTTTAAGTTATATATTAAAGTTTGATTTACAAATATTATTTATAAATTATTTATTTAAATTTAATTATTATATATATAAATTATTTTATTTTTAATAATAATACAAATTTATTTAAAATTTAAATTATATATAATAATTAAAATTTATTAAGTAAATCTTATATTTAATTTTATTAATTAAAATTATAATTAATTTAGTTTAATTCAAAATTTTATAAACTAGTTCATTATATTTTAATTAAGAATATAATTTATAAATATTATAATTATAAAAAATCAGAAAAAAAATTTATTTAATTTTATTTCTTAAATTAATTTATTACTATATATAATCAAGTAAAATTTTAATTAAATTTAGATATTTGAATTGTTAACGTGTGATTTTAGTAGATCGCTATAGTTAAACGAGGTGTTTAAGTATTGTTTCTTTTTAATATACGTAGTAATTACTGATCTTTCTTAAAGTTCTAGACTTATAACTGATATCACTCAAATGTATTTAAACTGTAATTCTCTAAGACTTTTATGTTTACAAAGATTCACAATGGCTGTAGTTATCACGAAGGCTTAACTACCACTTTAATTCACAAAGATTTATATGATCACTCAGATTTATAAAATCATACAGATATATAATGTCATTCAGACAATGATATAAAATATCATGCAGATGTATAAGATAAATAATATGGTTTATTAATAAAAAGAAATGTAAGAAATAAAGAAATATAAAAAAAATAAGGTAAAGAAAAGAAAAGAGGTTTTCACAAAGATAAAAGAGCACACAGCTATTCAAATGTTTCTAAGAGAATTATTGTACACAGCCAAGTTGAATTCTACCTTTCTACAAATTCTAAAATCTACTGTATTTATTTCTTTTCAATTACATATAACAATAAATAAAATATATAAAATAAATAAGTTATATCTATTATACTAATTATGTCAACAATGTTGATAATATTATTAATGTTAATAATGTCATTAATATCAACTATATAAACAATGTCAAAAATACCACATAATACATATAGATCAATTTGTAGATCAATTTTGCAAATCATTCTGTTGATCAATCTTGCAAATCCTTTTTGTAGATCGATTTTGCAGATCACTTTGTAGATCTGTTTACAGAATACAGTTGATCTCTTTTATAGTTACTTTCTATATAATCACATTCCTTCTTTAGTCACATTATAGTTCAGCACCAATGTTTTAAATAAGAAAATACCTCTTTTATAATCACAATAATATATAAAAATATAACAATTTTAGTTTCATCTTATAATAAATATAAGAAAATTGTCTTCTATATAATTACATCAAATTATATAAATTATATTCTTTATATAATCATAGTAAATCATATCAATATTAATTTTATTATATAAACAAATAGTATTTAAAATAAAAGATGTACAATCTCAATAAATACTGCTGAATTTCTCATAAACAACTACTATTTGAATCTTCAAAATTATATGAATCTATTAAGTTAATATATATTGATTACAGATTATTTAGTCTTAAAATAATCACAATTGAATTATTCTATAATTATAATTTAATATTTAATATATTAGCTCATTAGATTTATTTAGTTTTAAGAATTCAAATAATAGTTTTTTCATGAAAAACAGAATAGTATTGTTTGAGATTGTACTCTTTATTTAGATTATTTTATATAATAATTATGTGATATAATAATATTGATTTTGACTATTTCATAATATTGATTAATTTTGGTTTTATATTTAATTTATATTAATAGATAATTAAATTTATACTTATTTTCTTCAAACTTTTAACAAATTTTTAAAATCTTATTTAATTTATTATAAAATTAATTAATATAAAATTTTATATATAATCATATCAATAATATTTTTTACATATAAGTGATTATAATAATAAATCCTTTAGTATCCCTTAGATTGTAGGGTTTCGCAGGCAAATTTGCCTGCTTATTTACTATAAATTCTCTTCTGATTTATTTTTAT